AAAAAAAAATGTGAACACAAAGAACAAAAGCAATCATTGAAGGCCAATATTTCATCAAATGCATTTGCACTGAACATAATACTTAGTGGCTAACTGCATCACTAACGCTATGAAACCCTTTACTATTGGTGAACAGTTGATCCTGCCTAATACTAAGGACACTTGTTAGGAACTTTTAGAAGAGGCTACAATTCAAAAAGTGGTAAATATTCCTCTTCCAATTATCACCATAACTGACAAACTAATGAAATAGTGGAGGGTATTAAGGCATACATGTTAGAGAGGATTACTGAGTCACCATGGTACAAATCCAGGGGTTAACTGAACCTGGGACTCTGAGCATCCATGGGTTGGCTACATCTCAGGGTTCCTAGTGTTAAACTCTTACAGTGACCATGTGAGGGACAAGCACAGGAGATGTTCATGGTCAGGAGAACCCAAAGTGCTATAAGCTAATAATTAGGCCCTAATCCTATGGTTGGGGCTGGGTTCAGCCTGCATTTCCATTGATTTGACAGTCTCAGAATTGCTAGACCACCCTAATCTTACTGTTGGTTTGTGGTGATTATCCAGCATGGTTCTGGGCTCTGGCTGTCTCCTTTGTCTACCAGAGAGAACAGAATCATGTCTTCAATTGGACATTGCCACAAAGCTGCAGACCCCAGAAGACAACCACAGGCTTGGATTCACAGAGAAATGTCTTTCAGCGGGGTGGAAGTGGGGGGCTGTATTTTTCTTTTTCAAATTCTTTTGTTTGTTATTTGTTTAAGTTTTGGGGTTTTTATGAGTCAGAACATTGTTTATAGGGTTTTTTTATTTTCTTACATTTTTGGTGTTTTTTCTTCCCTTGTCTTCTGTATTCTGCACCAATTTTCTCAGGCTTCAGTAATCTTCCTTTGTCCTTAAGCCTTGTTTACAATCTCTTTCTCTTCTTTTCTTTTTTAATTTTTGCCAAACCTTTCTTTTAAATTTTCTCCCATTAATTACCTATTTTTACTCCATAATTTCCTTCTTTTTCTCCCTCTTTCTCTTTTATCTTCCATTTTTTTTTGCCAGTTTTCATTCCACCTTTACCTACTTCTATATCCATCTCTCTACTCATCAATAATAACCTCTGCACCTTCTCTCCTTGAATCATACAGTTATGTTTCATAATTTCCCTTTGGCATTCCCCCATTACCAAGACCTAAATCTTTAATAATATACACCATAAAGATTTGCTAATCTTTTGATAGTTAACTCTATAAAATTACTGTTGAATTCTTTCCTAGCATTAGCAGAGATATAGCTGTTGTACTTATTCAGTACACATTAGATGTAAGTCTACACATTAGAGGTAAGTCTATACCTCGTTGCCTTAATGTTTATATCATCATTAATGATTTCTTCTATAGGATTAAGTATGGTACATAACTGGTCCTTATGGTATATATCTGACTTTTTCTGAGCAATACTACTGTCACTGTTTCACTTGATCTCAACAGGGTCAAATAATTGTCACTATTTCTCTGTAAGCCAACACTCAGAATGTTTTTATACATTAACAATATCACAGTACATTCCTAGAGAACTTGGTTGCTGGGCTAACTATGGTGCATCCTCCTCTCCCAAAACAGCAATGTGGTTAAATAATGGATCTGTGACAAAGATTCACACTTAGCTACACCCAAAGTACATCACTCAAAAGCAACTAAGGAAATCTTTATACTAGCAACAAAGTCTTTAGATTATAAAAACCAACAAAACTCAACATAAAACAAAGCAAAAAATAAATGAACAAAAACAATAGAAACATGTAAGAAAAAAAAAGGTAACAAAATGCCTCCCCAAACTCCCAAGCCCCCTGAAGCTAATCCATAGGGCACCAAGAGGTAGAAGAGTCTAAGCCATACACCTGAATTGCTTGACAGAATAACAAAGGAGATTAGAAAACACTTCAAAGAGATACTCCATGGGATTAGAGAAAATATAACTAAATGTATGACAGCAATAACAAAAAAATAATGGGAGCTCTTGGAAGACACTAACAGAAAGTTAGATGAGCTACACAAAATGATACAAAACATGAATGACCAGTTTACCAAAGAATTAGAGTCCATGAAAATATTTTAATTAAAA